GATTGGGTAATCTGATAATCTATTGAAGTGATATCATATCACTGATGATATTGATGCCACTTACGCCTTTGCCACCCTTAGTAACGTGTTATTACATTTGAGGTTAACTTGTATTACATTTACGGTTGGTCAGCTTATTACATTTAGCGTTAAATTGTATTACATTTACGGTGGGGTAAGTTATTACATTTGGGGTTGATTTTTATTACATTTGCGGTTAGTATTACATTTAGAGTTAATTTTTATTACATTTGCGGTTGGTGTTACATTTAGCGTTGTTATTACATTAAGCGGTGATACACACCCCAAAAAACATACAATGACAAAAGTTAACAATAGACTGCAAGTCCGATCCAGTAAAACAGGATCGCAACAGTGGACAGCTCTTTCGTCTTCATTGGAACTCGTCAGTTTTTCGTATGCGCTCCCTTGCAGTTTCTGGTTTCTCGTTCATTTTGACTATTTACTACCGTGTGTACTATTTGTTTAAGTAAATGTTGGTTAGAGACTTACGCAAAGAGAAATAAGCGAATGATAAAACGCATTGGAAACTGAACAAAAGAACTAAAAGTTTCACTCCATCAAAACTATAAACAGAACACCTTAAGTTGCTCTCACGCCGGGCCAGCAAAGCACTTGAAGCGACACCCCCGAAAAACCTTTTTGCTGTTTTATCCGATGGAGCTCAAACTTTGCACAATGATAGAACTTTTTATCCCAAATAAGCGTATGATTTTTTACGTTTTTTTTGTTTTTTTTCAATTTAACAGTTTCTGGCGGGAAAATGACGTCACAGTGCTAAAGGCAAATTTTCATTACCTTGTTATGGCACAAAAAGTACATGATTCTGAAAGAACTCGCTGAGATAAAGTGAAATGAGAAAAAATCATTGAAAAAGCTTAATCCGTCTTGAAGATACAATGTTTGGAAATTTAATTTTTCCCCATTTTGTTACTATTTTTAGAACATTTACAAAATTCAGATCTTTGGAGTGAAAAAAGAATGCGAATTTACTGCCAGAAACACAGAGTCACGGAGCATGATGAATGACTACGATCTTTAACTGTTGACCGCGCGCTGGACATTGCCGACTCGTTTACCCACGCTTTTCGAAGTGACGCGACTTTGTAAGTACACAAGGTTTTTGTAATTTTTTTTTCTCATATGACCAGGCACAGCTATCACCAAATTTGCCAAAATATTGTCCTCGAAGAATATCTTGCAGTTAAATTTTGAGCAGTTTCCGAAAGGTTTTGACTGGAAATACGATTGTACGTTACGTGCCTTGAAAGCAGCTATCGAGCAAATAAAGTGCACATTTGCAAAATGGTGTTTATTTAATGTTTGCATACTTCCCGGAACTTAATGTAATGTTTGTTTCATTAAAAATATCTGCTTCAGTTAAACAGGATTCTAAAACGCTCTGCTGGAAAAAAGCTATCTGAGCCGGGTCGATAAGATCGCTCACATAATTTCATCACTCGGAAATTCTGAATTCTTTCAATATCAAATACCGATAGATCAGGAATGTTTGCTTCATATATATATAAAGGAGAGTAAGTTTCTTGTCGTATGCTCACCATCTTTTAAGCTTAACAGGACAAGATTTCTATGCTATCTCTAAGGGATGTCATTGGTTTTATGAAAAGCTTTTATGAAGCTAGAGTTATTGACATCGCCGTCTTATACGAAATTTACGCAACTTTAAGCATTTTGTCTTTGGCGACACGACGGGACACGCGAACGTTTCCCGCGTCCACTGCCCTTCCCGTCTTGACCTTCCCGTCCTTGCATCGCATAAAGGTCCCTAATGTTGCTTATAATGATGCAGAGGACATTAATGTCAAGCACTCAAATTTTAAACAATACTTTGCAATAAGACTAAAACTCCGCAAATATTTTTTGCACCATTGTGGTTATTCACTATCTAGTAACCACATGTCCTCTTAGAGGGTTTTTGTTGTTGTTGTTTTTTTTTTCGGCTCTACAACGGGCACTTACCATCACAGGTCAAATTGTTGGAACTCATAACTATCCCCTCAGGGCATCCACAGTAGAACGACCCAGGGATGTTAAAGCAATCGTGACTGCAGCCGCCATTTCTGCTAGAGCATTCGTCAGTGTCTACAGAGAATATACAATCGTTCGGTTAAAAGAGATTCTAAGTCGGTAGAGCATGGTGAGACTCGCTTATGGCCGGTTGCTTTAGCAAAAGTTCGGTCATTTAAATATATCCCATTGAGAGATTCATTCAGTTAATCATGGTCAATGGGTACAAAATCTGTGACTGCATGAGCGTGAAATTCAGCGTTATGTAGCGTCAAAAGCCACATATATATATTTAAAGACATTAAAGGGAAATATTTCCACACTTCGATATTGTAGCCCATTTCCAGTGTTCCCGGAAAAATCAATGCTTTAGTATTTCTATCAGCTATCATATTTTT